AGCTATAAGGTATAGTCGAGGACGTGACATCACGTACCCGATAAGCCGGTAGTGATAAGTTTAGTCAGGGAGTCTGAGTTTTACCTCAAAAGCAAGCAATAGATCAAGGCTAAAAGGAAGCGCCCAGCTTCCCTCGTGTGTGTTCGAGTTTCGATACCCACTACAGTGACGAAGTGACGATAAAATGCATGAGCAAATTGGTAGACACCTGCTACCTAACCATTGTGCGGATGGGGTACTAAGTGGCCAACGGCAAATTGAAATCATCTTGTGGCCGGATTAACAGTCTCGATCTGGAGAAGGAGATTTCTTGGAATTGAAGCTAACTGCTTATGGTGGTCCGAATGAATTGTTTGTCATCAACATATTTTATCAGTTAATTTTTTTTAATAAGCGCACCCACAATGATTGATTCGCGGGTTCGCAGCTCTTAGTTCTATTATGCTAAGTAATCGTTATTGACGGAATTTGTCTGCGCTACAGCATGTATTTGTGTGTGTGTGAGTATGAGAGACAGAGAAAGCGATTTGACCGAAGGGCACCAAGAAAGACCACTCGTTTTCGAGGGCTTCTAAAGAATCGGTCTAACGAGAAACTTAAGTCGACCCAGCACGCCATCCAGCGAGGCGCGGATGGAGAATCGTATAAAAAATAGTTTCGATAAATCATCAAAAACTACCTTTTGATGAAAGTTTCCACAACGTATATCGATACACCACCGTCAAAGCCCTACTTTATTCGGAAAGAGCGTCTCCAACAATAGTCCATAACCATTTGCGGACCCCTGGTTACCTGCCCTAGTACTAACGTGTAAATATGCTGGAATTTGCATGCGTATGCATTTTTTTTAAATGTTTATTTATTTGCGCTGGCACTTAGTTAAGGCTGAGTGGAGGGCAAGCAATACAGTGTGCTTTGTCTTGACTTCGATATTTAAATATCTCAGACGTCATTTTTAACAAACACCAGTCGCAGCAGCTATGCGACATCATTTGTGCATGAGTGCGCAAAGCTGTCCGAACAGTGAGTGTTTTCCAAAAGTTGCTCTAAAAGTAAAAATAACATTCTCGGCTTGCATTGGCTCTTAACATGCCAGCAAGCGACGAACTGCGAACTGATTTATTGCCCGTATAACTGCTTGTTTTCTTTTGTTGAGAAACAATGTACCTAATATAACTTGTCACGGTTTGCTCTTTAGCAGCAAAACTAGTAATGCGCCCAGCCACTAATTATGCTCCCATCTTAGCAATCGTAAGGTAGGACGTAGCCGCAAGATTGCACAGGCATGAAATCGATAATTCGTCATCCTCTTCCTAGTGTTCAATCGTGTACAGGGCGGCCGAGCAGTTATAGCCTTGAGAATGTCCAGGGTACCCCGCCTGAAGCAGCTTGCCATTCTTCAGAAGCTGAACAATTTGACTGGCCCCAGGGACAGCATTTACAATCACCCCAACGCTGTAAACACCTCTTCGTCGAACTTTGATGATACCATCCATCCCAGTTAAAACAAAATCATCAGACTGCACGTTTTGCCAGCACAGAATCGAGCTGCCGTTCTTTGTCGTGGCCGTCAGTTTAATGAAAAGGAGTGTTTTTCCTTTTTTCAGCTTGCCTCGAAGTTTCACGAGCTCCTCCTGTTGGTCACGCAACTTTGACTCTAACACGTCAATCCGCTCAACAGAAACAGGATCGAGATCGAACTCGTATTTCGCCACCCACGATGAGCGAAGCACCCGAATCGTGACAGATAGCTCAAGACGGAGAGCTCCTCCCTTCAGTGCATACAGCTTCCGCTTCGCGTCACTTAAATCAACAAGGTCGCTGTCCAGTGTATCTCGGAAGCACTTCAACAAATTATTCACGGCCATTGTCAAACTATCGGTACGCTGTACAGAAGAAGAAGCGTACAAAAATTCACGCACCTCGACGTAGTCAGCCGCTGACGCATCTGGAATTGTGTTGGCAGTCGTCAAATAGTCAGTCTTAAGCATTCCACCCTTGAACCTGCTCAAAGCAAAGTATCGTGTAAGCACAACATAGTCACTTCGTCAGATTTACTCGTACCATTGCTTCTTGGAGGACCGGTCCTCCATCCAAATGCTCATTTTCGAGCTCTTCAGCTCGATAACGTAGCGATAAGACGGCGCGGGTGGTGGAGCGAACGCAGTAACACCATCCACCTCGATATCTTGCAGCGACGACATCGTACCAAGCAACGCGCGTCCGCTTCTTCTTATCCAGCAAAATCGGTTGTGGAACAAGTGACATAGATCAAATCAGAAAATACCTTTTCCGAGAATGCTGCAAAGATTTTAAATTCTCCATCAACCTACGAATCGTGACAGTCAGTTAAGAGAATTCTCGTTTAATGTGTGCAGCTCTCGCTTTGCATCACTCGAATTGACAAAATCACTGTCCAATGTGTCACAAAGTACTAAAAGCATGCAATCGAGATTGTTAAAAGAGAATTGTAGTTTCCGAGGTTATGGAGCAAATCAAGCGTCGCTCCAAAAATAGACTCCTTGGAGCTAGAGCGATTAAGTATTGGAGCATCTCAAAATACACACGGAAATCTATTTTTGTCTAACTAATTCGGAGTTTTGCTTAGAAATTTCTTACTCCAACTCCAAAAACTACAGTTCTCTAATGAAAAAGCCGTTATTAAAGTCACACCGTTTTCAGGATTTTTTTAGAATGCTGAACTTGTCGTTATTGACTAATAAATACATGTTTTTGCTGCGGCATTCGTGAATCAAAGGTAACGAAAACAAATAGCTTTAAAAGTTTGCAAAAGATAATCATTAAAATTCTGCAACTCGATGACATAGCAATAAAAATGACTTCTAGTTTTTGTTTAAGTTTACAAGACGTGACACGGAGCGGACAGTAAATACAAATAAAAAGCCCCCGCGATGGTTTAACAATTCGCCTACTTTCATAATAATAAGGGCTATATCAGCTAACTTCGATTCCAGAAAAAAAAAACGGGCCTTTGAATCCTCGCCGGTCAATTCCCTAGGCGGACGATAGACAAGCTCGAAGTACCCATGTCATCACAAGTGCACGTGACACTCAGCACATCGTTGCAATCCATTCGCTCGATGTAACCCAACGGAATCGACTCGAAGCGGCTTTTCATATAGCCACACTCACTCGCTTGAATGCACTTCCCGTTTTTCATCATGTGCACTTTCTTCCCATCATCGTACGACTTGCATCCCACCACAGCACTAATGTAGTAGATGCCTGGGCGACAAAACGTGATCGCCCCTGTTTCGTCTGACACGGCGAAATCGTCGGACACTGTTTTGTTCCAATGTAGTGTTGAGCCATTAGCTACCCTTTGCGTCGACTTAAGCTGAAGATGAGTTGGTGTTTGACTGTGTAGCAAATTCTGCATTCTTTGCTCCATGCTCTTCAGAACTTCTCCTTGGTCTCGTAGTTTCGATTCCAGCACGTCAATTCGTTCCACTGAAACAGGCTCCAGGTTGAAAGTATACTTCGCCACCCACATTGAACGTAGAACATGGATGTTAACGGTAAATTCCAATCGCATAACATCCCCTTGCAACGATGTCAGTGAGCGGCGAGCGCCAGAAACGTCATTTAGATCGCAATCCAGGGCGTCTTGGAAACACTAAAAGACATAACGGCTTGACTAGTGACTTCAGGTTTAATGCGCAATTGAAAGATGGATTTTTTACCTTGGCATAGTCATTGGCTGACGCATTTGAAATTGTGTTTGCAGACGTCACGTAGTCGGCCTTTGCCAGGTCTCCTTTGTACCTGTTCATCATAAACTAGTTAAGATATAAATTATTACTTTCCTCTAGTCAACGTTGCACCGCACCATTGATTCTTGCTCGTTCGGTCCTCTATCCAGACGCTCAACCCAGAAGTTGTGGTGTTCTCTTGGTCCGGGGTTGATCTGAATTGTGGGAAAGGTGGTTTACTTGGGAAAGGGGTTTTCACTGGCGCCCACAACAAACCTTGTCTACCGCCACCCAAGCTGTAATTCGCGATAGAAAAATATGGTGATAGTAAATACGTGCAATAGCATGGTGTAGCAAATTTAAAGTGACGATTGTTCATGTTTGAGCTTCTAAACAACTTCGAGAGATCACGCGTAGGTCAATTTCGGGTTGTCAGAGGAGCGATACTTTGGGATCATTGGAACATACACACTATAGATCAAAAACTACCAGTTATCACCAACGTTTAGATAGGTGATAACCTCACCGCAATAAGAGCCCATGTTCCACCGCCAAATCTTTTTTGGGGCGTGTAACTTGCAAACCGGTGGTCGTCATAGACTCTTCCGAAGCATACCTCTCCAATTCAGATAAAGTACGTAATTGCGCCTCAGGCTATCCCTGTTATCAAGAATTAGCTATGGCTTCTTGTTTAACCGTAGCCGTTACCGATCTCGTTAAGCTTGCTCCTCGACACGAAAAGGAACTTGGGCCTGTATCGCTCCATATTTTCGGCCTCATGGACATCGACGTAGGTCCAAGTTGTGGGTTCAGGAACTCATTTGCTCATTGCAAAACTCTCCGTTCCTATTGAAACCTTCTCAAACTTCTCGATCTTGCCCAGCTCACTCCAACGAGACTGGAGATGCTCAAAAATCTCACTGAACGACTTTATACTGTAGTATATAATTGATGAAGCACCGGAAGACTCCACGCTTGTGTTTTTGTTTTTAACTTTTGCGAATGTAGTATTATATCTACTGTACTTGGAACGTAGCAACTACTGCATGTACGTAGTAGCAGTTAGCTGAGCTCTGTTTGTAGCTAGAACCTCAACGTGGCGGATATGCTGGCGACAATAACGAGCAGGCTAGCGAGCCAGTAGTACTGTGGTACGAAGTAGTGCATGTACTGCTATTTCGCACGCACTTGAAAGAAACAAGTTGGTATCGTCATTTCAGCGCAAGTTTCGTGATTGAAACATCCTGATGAAAAGTGTTTCTGCTAATGTCGTGAGTCGGCTACAGCGACCAGCTCAAAAATCCGCACAACGACGCTATTAATGCCTGTAAACACCTCTGTAACCTGTAACCTGTTGCATCGGCAATACTCGAAAAAACGCAGCACACAAAGTCTTGCAAGTAGAACCTCACAACGCACGACACGGAACGATTTCAGGACTAAAATACGACCTTGGCTTTGATTTGAGGCACTACCGAGCACGACTGGCCGTCCACTGTTCGTCCAATCTCCTCTCGCGTCATTGCACCTGTAATCCAAGCCCGGGCCATCGTAGAGAGACATCGCTGTCGAAGACCTTAGCACCAGCCGCCGCTATTCGAGCCGCCTAGACCTCTTATCCGCTTAGTACTGGTGGCCAGCGGATTTCTTCTTCTCACCAAGCTCAAAGTGCTTCGTGCGCTTCATGGGCAGCTGCTTCTTGACCTTGCACTCCTTGCACTCCATACGCAGCGTGATCTTCTTGGTGGTCTTCGCCTTCTTGTGGAACACGGGCTTGGTCTGACCACCGAAACCCTTCTGCTTGTCGTTATAACGACGAGCACCCTGGGCGTACTTGGAGGCCTTACCGGCCTTGTACTGGGTGATCTTGTGCACCGTGTGCTTCTGGCACTTCTTGCCCTTGCAATAAGTGCGGCGTTCCTTCGGCATGTTCACCATGGTTGCTGAGGTCTGTCGACGGGTGAAAAATGTATCAACAGGTTAGTCAGCGTCTCTTGAATACAACGAGCCCTGTACGACGTCTGTAACTGCGCTAGAACGCGAGATATCGCGTCGGGAAGACCATCATTCAGCAGCATGCCTACCTGTCTTCTAGTCCGATTTCAGAAATTACGAGCCCAGTCAAAAAGCCGCAGCTTGGAGCCCAGCGACAGCCAGTGGTTGGCTCCTAGGACTGGGGGAGTCGGGTCGTAAAAAGGTTTGGATTTCTTACGACGTATTTACGCAGTGCCAATATCATGGTACAAACCGTGGCTCTTTGATTGGTAGAAAGTCGTCGTGATGAAGTGATAGTAATGCTATGGTACAGTACAGCGCCTGGCCAAAAGTGCGATCATATAGGTACAAAGTGCAGCGCGATCATTTCTATACACTTGCTTCAGCTTCTGGACGACGATTGCCAGCATGTTGGACACTTGACAGCACAATTAAAAGTTGATCGAAGTAATGCTGCGGCTAAGATGCTGTTGAGGCAATTGTGTCGTCCCAGTTGCTCTGGATTCCATGCTCGAAAACCGGTTGATTCAAATCTTTGGGCGACAGCTTCGAGGCGTCGAGATGGCAAAGCCGAGACCAGCGATGCACGTGCGATCCTGCAACGTTTTCGCCATTGCCATCAACACTGTAAGACTCGATCAAGTTTTGCGTGGCGTTTACGCTGTCTACGAGGCTTAAATGTTGCTGAACTCAAGTGATAACGATGTTTCTTCACTTTGGCACCCTGTTTGATATCCGATTCTAAAAAAAATCAAAAGGGAATAACGTGGCAATCCGAGTCAGTTCAAGTCCACCCTATGGCGTGCAGAAACACATACACATTTCTCATTCGTCAAAAAGGTATCTAGTACGCAACCTAATTCGCCAAAACTAATTTTAACCCTACCCTTCGACTAAAAATAGCAGTCAAAAGCCTTCAAAATCGCGCATACGCCAAGAACCAAGCTGCCCGGGACGGCGTCTCTGCTCTCTTCGGCAGCTTGTAGTGCTTCGCACTGACGTCCCCAGCCGGCACAGTTGCATTCATCTTCTGCCTAGTCGTCTCCGCTGTCGATTCGTCCGTCTTCCACTTGTAAATCGCCTTGTGAGGCTCAGGATCCAGATTGAAATCGTCCTCACATGGGGAATTCCGAGTCGCGAGAGACTTCGTCCTCTGGGTCAAACACCTCCCGTCCAGTTCGTCGCTCTCTGCCTCCACAGTCAAGTATAGACTCATCCGATATGGCTGAGCCTGAAATCCGTGCTGAAAGGCGTTCTGCGTCCATGCCTAACGAGCGAGAAGTCGTTGCGACGAACCGACGTCACGTCCCGAGGCCACGCCCTTCTCGGCGGCTTCAGAACAGTATCTCCAGCTCTAACAGTGACGATCAAATGCAGCGCGAACGCGGCGGTATTGAACGAGGACAGGAAGCCACGGAGGAAGCGTCATCCCAACTCAGCTACTGGTACTTGATCAAAAACGGGTACACGGAACTGGTACACCTGATCATCCGGCCACCACGCACAGACTACGACCTGGAGGATCTAGGACCGGAGGAATTCTCGTTTGTAGGGCGGTCTTTTATTCGAGAAGATTTTACTGTGGTGAATGATCGCAGACAGAAGCTCGTGTGCTCCCATTGGAGACCGGCTACGTCTTCTACAGCGCAGTTGATGCCATGTGTAGTCTACCTGCACGGCAATTCATCATGTCGATTGGAGGCTCTTGGAGTACTGAGAACCTGCTTAGCAGCTGGTCTTTCCGTTGCTGCATTCGATACAGCAGGCTGTGGCAAGTCCGATGGCGAGTATATTTCACTTGGATACTATGAACGTGACGACTTGAGAGATGTCGTAACGTATTTGCGAGCAAAGATGAATATTGGAGCTGTGGCATTATGGGGACGAAGTATGGGAGCAGCTACTGCGCTGCTACATGCGGATAGAGACCCGTCGATTGCGGGGATCGTAGTGGATAGCGCCTTTGCGAGTCTGGAGCAGCTTGTGGAGGAAGTGGTGGAACGAGGACGCCAAGAAGGATTGACGTTACCCGGATTTTTGGTCAAGATCGTGTTGAAATTTATCCGATCGTCCGTTAAGAAGCGAGCGCATTTTAACTTACGGCGTCTCGCCCCGATTGATCACGCTCCGGTGTCGTTTGTGCCGGCACTTTTTGTAGCTGCAGAGCACGATTCGTTCATCGCACCCCATCACAGTGACCAGATCTTCGCAGCGTACGGCGGCGATAAAAATCTCGTCAAAGTAGACGGCGATCACAACAGTTCAAGGCCGCAGTTTTTACTCGACTCGGCGGCTATTTTTCTACAGACGGCGCTGCAAGTGGATGCAGCGACGACTGCACAGCTGAGCTCTTTCGCTGATGGAATTACAGGCGGCGGAGGGCGTGTGCCATGGGAAGGTGCTGTGGGTCGCACTTCGTCTCTGTCAATGTGCTCTTCTCCGGCTTCGTCGTACCGTATGACGATGGATCTTGACGCTAGATACTCTGGCAAGAAGTCGATGATGGCACCGATGGAGTCGTGGTCGTGTCCGTCGTGCACGTTCGTCAATCGACCATTATCCATGCAGGTATGAACAAGTTTTTTTTTTATTGGAATGTTATGGGTTCTAAATATTTTTATGTTTTTTTACAGTGCGAAATGTGTCGGAATATCTACTTTCCCGACGATAACGAGGATATGGACGATGCTGGAGACGAAGAAGATGACGCGCTATCGAGTAACGTTGCACGGAGTCGAGCCTTGACTACAGGTGGTGTGAGACTCCCATCTGCCCACACACAGCGGAGACAAACACTACCGGTTGACGCAGTGCCACCCCCCAGTACGTCATTGATATCATCGACATCAGCACAGCGACCTACTCACTCTGAACGATCAGTAGCAGTTGCTATGGTAACTACAGCGGCAACGTCAGTATCTTCACGAATGTCGTCACCATAGGTCTTTGAAAAAAAGTTACACGAAAGTTTTTCCGTTTTTGAGTTTCGGTAATATCACCGCCTTAAAACATCGATAATCTGAGCAGATTTATTTTTAATAATAGCATTACGACAAAAACTTGGAACTTGGATGAACGACGAAGACAAAGGGCTAAAAACACCATACGGTTACTTTCTCCGCATTAGGAAAAAGTAGCTGCCGTTAAATAGTACCCATGCACCCACAACGTAGGCGTACGATGGAGTCAGTTCGGTAGTCGTGGCGGTAGAAGACGCGTGTGGGCCGACGCCGCTGCTGGTGAAGCCTGCGGTATCGCTCGAGTTGAAGTCGCTACCTGACAGGAAATCATCCCCAACGCTATTTGAGTTGCTTGAACTGCTGGAGCCACTTGTAAAGTTGCTGGAAGCACTAGCGCTATTGGAGGTGTTGGGGTTGCTGGACGAGCTACCCGACGTGAGTGATCTGGCGGTACCTGTACTGCTGGTGGAGCTTCCAGGTGGCTCCACCGCCGTACTCAGCTGTGGATTGACACCTGAGCCCATCAGGCTGAAATCCTCCAACAGCCTCGCAGCCCTTTCAGGCGAGTTCTCCTCGCTTAAAACCTTCTGGTTCGCATTCTGCAGGTTGGAAAGCTGGTTCAGCTGGTAGAATTCGCGAAACAAACTCGCGTTGGGGGCTATTGCTTCTCCACTCACACTTGAACTGACTAAATCCTCTCGAATTCGCAGCAATGTCTCTGCCAGCGAGCGGACACTCATCTGGGACTGTCGATATTTACATTCAGGTAGCCACGTCGCCTCGGCAGCTTGATTTAGCCACGCAGCGCACGATTCTGCTCTACATAACCTCGTCGTGTGGTCCTCTGACGGGGCCGCAAATGCTTCTGAGGGCTGAAGAAGCTCCTTCACGTCGTAACCAGCTGCTTCCTGTCGGCATGAGCTAAATAGGTCGCTCTTAAAGAGCTCGATGTCCACTCGAGCATTAACGTCTCCTAAACACTCGTGGACGCCGCCAAACTGCGCAATGGCGCTCCCCACGTCGCTCAGTTGAGTCCACGATGTCAGTATGTGTGAGCCGGCGATGTATGACGGTGCTGAGGTCTGTTCCGGCTGATAAATGATAGGTTCTTGGGCGTAAGTGCCAGTCACAAAGTTGGTCATAACGATAGCAAATAGCGTCGCAATTACGAGGAGCTGGGAGCTGCAGCAACGACGTTTTCCGCAGCTGTTAAAGCTGCGATTTATTCGAAACTTGGGCCATCTCACAGCGTTCTGACGCCGAGAAATCGCCATTCTTCCGGCGTTTGAAGGCCGGAACAGGAACAGTAGAGATTATACGGTCAATACTCGGACTTGTGACGCCAGAGAGGGATCAAATTGAGTGCGAGTGGAGCGCCTATCGACGGGGATGTACCGGAGGTCGGCAAGTTCAGCTGGTCGTCCAGAAGAAGGCTGAAGAGAGCACTCGATAAAGAAGCAGGTGATGACGGCCTGTCTGGTCTTCGTCTGGTCGTCCTAATCGCACTCGTACTTAACGACGTTAACCGAGTCACGCATGCTGAAATAGAGGTGAGCCTGTCGAAACACATGAATGCAATGCAAAATGGCTGGGTGGTATGCTATGTGGGTGAAACAAGAAAAGCCCAGTCAGCAACGATGGTCAGGGGATGCCATGGGATTTGCAGTTAATCGATCGCTTCATCGTTGTTGGCAAGTTGCCAATGGCAACAACGGCAACGCTGAATCGTTGTCGTCGCTGATACAAAGTATAATAGCCACGCTTTTGCTGACAGCATCGGCATTGACAGTTTGGAGATGACGCTAGTGCTAACTGATAATAGGAACTGGAAGGGTTGTATCAACTGGAGAGATTTATCGATAAAGTAATAAAACTCTCCAATCATCTTAGAGCCTTGAATGCTACCGATGGCTGAGTGGCAGCATCTCATGCACTTCGTTCTTTCGAAGCTTCCAAGTGGGATCAAGACGAATTGTAACGGGTAATGTCGTGACCTTTTTTTTTTCATCGAGCGCAAAGCCCCGGCCCTTGCTCTCACTCGAATTTCGCGCTAGCCATGTCAAAGAAGGAGACGCCATCGCCGCTCAAGCCGTTGCTGGACTCGACGCGTTGGCTGCACTCGTTGGGTGCGCTGCTACTCACTGCCGGCGCCTGCTCCGTCATCTGGGAACTGGCCGCGTTGCATGCTCAAAGCGCCTTGTTCACGGACGAGTTGCGTCCCGAGTTCTTCGCACTGACAGCACCCGCGTCCGTCACCAACTCGTCCGAATGGCGAGCAATCGACAGCAGTGGCAACGCTGAAGTATCACCCGACGACCTGCTACACTTGAGCTTCTTAGAGGCAGCGTGTCAAGTGGCAAAACGACACGGTGTTGCCGTGGTATTCGCAGCCCCAGGCAACGCCGCCGACGGTCTTCCCAATCGCAAGCAGCACGTCACTACTGCATCGGGAGATCGAGACTATACACACTAGACATGCTCTGAATTGGACGTTATCTACGTCATGGTCCGAAGAACTGCCGGATGTGCAGCAATTGCGCCCCCTTTATGATATTTACTCTCTCGACTACTACCGGACTGGGTTCTGCGGATAGAACTATACGATATCGCTGCTATATAGAGAAGACGTTACTATGAACTATGTCCACACACGCCGATGTTGTTCCTGTCGCCAGATCACCTACTCAAGACCGTCAAGGCGTCATCGTGGCCCAAAGAAAAACCGGTTTATCTAATGGCACCAACAGTGGACTTCAACACGAAGACAACTCCACGTCCTGCACAGTTTACACGATCCGTACTGGAGCTGACGGACGTCGTGTTGTGTCGGACGATGCGATGCGACCAAGATATTAAACACTTTTTACTGCGTCAGATTAAGGACGACGAAGACGAGCGTTCTGTAGCCATAAAAAACACCAGAGTACTCTACACGAGTCAGGTGACAGCAGATCCAGCCAACTTTGCGCGGAAGATGCAGGATAAGGATGCTGCGCCGCAAAACGTGGCAGACTTTGCCTACACACGCTTTGCGCATACTACTTGGAACGTGTCGTCCAAGACAACACAAGACGTTTTTAGTTGTTGGAAAACCTACAAGAAGGAACTCCCTCCTTTAGATGTGTATCTCCTACGAGCACTCCACGAGAACAAGCAAAATGACGGCACACGATTCTACAAACCATTCCCTGGTGACCGTGATACAAAAGTGCAAGTGTTGGACGCGGTCAAGTTCTCTAAAAGGTTCGGAGAAGCCTCGTTCTTCATCTGTCCAACCGCAGCAGACGACTGTCTCGATCTCGCACGAGCTTCCGGCGGTCTTGTCGTCACAGCAGACGCATATCCGATGAATGAATTTGTAGCAACAAAAAAAGAGGGAGTGACGTTCCCTACGCAACACTCGACGGCGTTGCGTCAGAGTGAACGTCGTAGTCGGATATCAGATGACGCGTTGCTGTTGCCTCCACCGCCAGCAAATTATCACAGTGCAGATCTGTGTTCTGCTGTGTTGAAGATAAAGTCAACATTGTCGCTTAGTGAACGCAAGAACATTGGAACACAGACACGTCGCCGCTTCCATGAAGACGCCAAGTACTTTATGCTGAGTATGATGGAACTTCAAGCCTATACACGACACACTCGTGGGCTTCAAGTCGGCCAACGAAGCCTTGTTGAGGCTTCAGGTTAGATGAGGTTAATCGAGTGTATTGCAATTAGTGAACGCTACGCATATTATAACCTTAATTTTATTTTCATCCTTTTTAAACTTTTATTAACCTCTGACAAGGCACCACAAGATATCCTCCGTGATAAAGACGATGCCTGAAGACTACATGGGTAGGTGACGTCACTAATGGATGACACACAAGCTAACGTGTGCCTTTAAACTGTGACAGTTAAATCTGGTGCTAAGGACATGATAGCGAATGCCATTGCCGAGGTGTTGACATTCCGACCGCGTGTTCCTGTGGCTTTCCTCGCTTCCCAGTACGTTGCCACTCTTGCTTTAGATTTACTATATGCTGTCTGTACTGACGATTGATCTGCAGCTTTCAAGGTCTGGCGACAAACAAGTCAGCTGCTGTGGTCTCGTATCTACGTGCTTGTCATCCATGCAGTCCGTCGTTTCCATCGGCTGTTGAGAAGGCCTTCTATGACCTTGCAGCTATTGAAGCTACACCACCAGCTGCGTTATCGACCAATGCTCCGCCTCCGCGATCTAATTCTGCGGGACCCACGCCATCCAGGAAATTGAGAGCTGGTGGTCCTACCACTATTAGCGAGGCTTCGTTTCGACAACTTCTACAACAGCTGAGCACGGACTTCCCGAAGCATCTACAAACTAAACTTCTTGACGCTGTGCTCTGCGTCTCGCCAACTTCAAGTTCTCAGGAACCCTCGAGCAGTCAAGGTGTGGGCTTGACACACTTTCATCGAGGTGTGCGAGCGTGCCTCCTATTCGAAGAACTCATCGATACAGCCACATTGTTGTTTCAAGGGTTGCAGCCAGATAACTCCAATCCTGCTGGAGTGAGCTTCGACACCTTGATGAACGCGTTGCAGTCAGCTACCTCGCATTTTTCACGTGAACAAACAGCAGAGCTGATCCCGTTACTCAGTCGATCCTCTGCCTCTCGCACTACGTCGCAAGCAACCAAGGCTATTGAAACGTCACCCCCAACATCTCGTCATTTATTGCAACTCAACGACGTTTCCAGCCTTTTCTTCGATCTTGTGTTCGAACAAACGACATGATGCGAGGTCATCAAAGTACATCAATCTTGATTGCAATAGACTACGAATCTGTTTTCTTTCTCCCAAAGATCACAACTCAGTTTTCCGTCGTCGCGCACAGTAACCAGCTAAAAAAAATGAGCGACTTCAAAGTGGCTGGTGTGACTGCTATCCATCGTTCAGGCGCTTGCCATAACTATGCTTTTATCCTCCAGCTAAGTAATGAGAGAATTAGTATTTCGATAATGGATAGAGTCACCCAGGAAAAATGGTGCGAGCAGACGATCATTATTGTAACATTTTCTTTTCAAAACGAGCAACACACCTAAGCTCTTGTCCTCTTTCCACAGGTACAAGAGTGACCTCAGTACGTGACATCTGCGAATGCAATTGGCGGTTTGACTTCTGCTGGGTATATTAAGGTTTGTCGATTGGTGTATCGATCAGTACTGCGAAGGTTGACGAACCATGCTTGCCTCTTTGTAGTTCTTTCACGATATACTGAAGGCAGAGTCTACTGAAGCTCAGCGTAAGCTGACAGATCTTGGGGACGGCACACTTCAGCTGGAGCTATCGGCAAATGTTTGTTTTCAAAACTCGAAGTGGACTATGGGGTACAGGTTCAACCTTGGCCCCGTTTCGGTTGAGCGAATTGAGGATTTAAAGGCAAGCTTGAGACAGGTGCAGGAAGAGTTAAAACAAGCGAGGGATAATGAGTTGAAGCTTCAAGCTGCGTTGGCGCAGCTAAAGACAAGTTAAAACAAACCTCGAAGTCGGTGGGGCCCACCGGCCACGGTGGGGGAGTGAAAAATAGAAGACTGGAAAAAAACGGCAATAATTGAAGATTGATGTGATAACAGGGGGCGAATGAATTATTTTACATGTTTCAAATTAGTAACCTTCACCTTTGAGTAACCTAAGGTGTGGTATGGTGATGTCAGCTTCGACAACTTGAGCCTTTGCAAACCTTTCTTGTCGAAGTTCTTGTCGAAGTTGCTCGGACGGAATGTTACAGCTATCGCACTTCCATTCGTAACCGGCAATAGCCGAGTTTGAAGACGTTGGCAGCTAGCAGATACACGGCCTCAGTAGCTGCGAAGGTATTTTGCATCCTTTATGTATACAAGATGCGACTTCTATCACTCCGTTGCACGGATCGCTGCCACGTACGCATCATACGGGGCCGCCGAAAAATAATTGGCACTTACAATTATGGTCATGAATATTATCTCATTATTTACTAGCCATGAAAAGTAGTACATCATAATTTCTGTCACCAGCGTACTATTCTGATTATTTAATTTATGAGAATGTACAGCTCTTACTTAGATTATTATGCGAAAATGACTGCCCCCCGAGCCAACCATGTATTCTAACGTCTCTAGCCAATCTCAGTGGAAACGCTTTGCGCACTGCTCGAAGGTGTCACCCGTTCCGTGAAAGCTGCAATTGCAGCAGAGCTGTCGGATGCTTTTGGACTTATGTTCGATGGGTGGACTCACTCATCCGAACATTTCGCTGCAGTGTGTGCGTACTACAAAAATGGCGGTGCTGCTAAGACTGCGCTTCTTAGCATGGCTCCGGTCATGAACGAGCCGGACGAGGACTTGTCAGCCCGTACCCACCACGAATTGTTTTAGAGGGAATGCTCGAACGAGATTTTGGGTAAGATCTAAGCTGCTGCAAGCCTCGTTGGGGACAGCTGTTCAGTGAACAGGTGACTGACAGCCATTATGCAAGTGCCGTTGGTCGGCTGCGCTGGTCACCGATATAAATCGGGCTGTTCAGCAGCACTTGGCAAAGCTCGACGAAGATTTGGCTGCTGTACAAGCCCTGATGTCAATGCTGCGGACGCTTAAGCAGTCGGCGAAACCTCGGTGAGTACTATTGATATTGCTACTGACATCAGTACTGATACCATGTTGTATAATTAATACGCGATTAATATGCTTTTTTGTTTTTACTAATTTTAAGACTCCACTTCGGCCAGAATATCCACTGGGGATCCACCTTCGCGATGGCCCATCGGCTCTTCGCCCTGTTGGATTTCTTGGACCAAGAAGATGAAGAGCTCCTGGACTTGCTTCCGTCTCCCGCGTGCAACCGCCGACTCAAGAAGCTCTACGTAGACCTCAAGGGCTTTGGGTCGGTGTCCAAGGCTTTACAAGGCGAGAACGTGAGCTTACTGGACGCGCGTGTCTGGCTCGAAGGACTTATTGAAGTCCAACCTGCGTTTGCTACTTATATCGGTGTGGCTTTCTTTGTTTCTATATATTTATAGCATTTACTAACTCAAAATGATGCACACAGGTACTCAGAGAAACATCGTTCTCAGCCCAGACTTTGCGTTGGGCCGTGTTCGTGTTCTCAAAGAAAGTGGAGCCCCCTCACCGCAGCAGAGAAGTAGGCTCTTCGTCCTTTTCTCGTGGCGGGCCCAGGCAATAATGAAGAAGAAACCGATACGGAGTCTTGTGCAGCGGCTCGAAAGGCACCGCTGGCTTGAAGCGAGGGAAGCCCAGTACAGCCTAGATAGCAGCATTCTGGCCACTTCGAACAAGGTGGAACGGCTCTTCAGTGTTGCTCGCACAGCACTTGGCCAAAAGAGCGTAATGGCTTGCAGCCCATAACGCTGGAAATGATTCTTTCCTGCGAGAATTTCCCCGTTTTTGGGACGTTTCTACTGTAGATCAACTGCTCTAACTCACAACTTGCTAATCAATGCAAGTAGAGCTGAACATCATTATTTCTTTATCACGGACAGATATGACATTATTTATGAAGTTGTTTTCTTAGAAGACGCCACATTATTTATGAGCACCTCAGGCTTTCCATTAAGATAAATATCATAATCGACAGCACTGCCCACAAGAGCTCATTCACAACAATGGCGTATATTTGTGGCTCACGAGCCTTCTCAGTGCTCAATCAATATGACTCAAGTTCAGTCCTCAAATGATCCATTGATCATATTAGTCCAGCTGGCGCCTTTGGGATTGTCGGACTGGGCATCCCAGAAGTCTCTCGCATGACGAGCTACGTTCAAAGGCTCGAGCTGGCAGTAGCGGCCTACCGGTATCACGTGCGGTGGCACCCGAGGTGGGGTCCAGTCTTCCATGGCGCAGCCGAATGGCTGCTCGATTTCATGTACAGTGCGCATCTTGGCACTCGAGTCGGCGTTTAGTCCTGAACTTGCAGAGGTGTGTTGATATAGATGATGACCATTTATCACCGAACAACGACGGTGAATTACCGATGATACTTGTGTCGATTATAGTGTGTATCAGGGATGTAATGGGGTACGTAGCCCTAAGTGTACCCGGGTTACATGAAGTGTGACACTTCACACTTCAGGAGTATACTCCGAGATATTTGGTACAAGGTACCAAGATCGTTCAAAGCCAACCATTCGTTAAATGACATTGCATTTCTATAGGTAACTAACAGTTTGAATTAAACCCAAACTTAATCTACCTATAAATATACTCAGTTTACAATTTACCTTATTTGGGTCACTTCGCTCTCTTTAATAAAAGAGGGGACCTGTGAACTGCCGTTCACTGAGAGTTTGTATACTCTCGGAAGATAACTTCCTCTTGCGCAAGGTGCTGTGTGACCCCGTCACACTTGGTAGCACTTGTAGTCAATCCACGCCATCGCGGGTAGACTACCTGAACCTCCGAAGTTCGTTGCCATGGATAGGAACGACTTCTCCCATTTGAACGACTCTCAGTTCGAGTCGGTTCGGAAGATGGCACGCATCTTCGGGATGGAGGCCCTGCAGAGCCTGGTGGTGTCAACACCGGCTGAGCAGCTCGAGCGCGTCAATGCATTCGACGCGTACGAGCAGGGCCTCATCGCGCATGTGCGGGAGAACCTGCAGGCTCCGGCGGCGGAAGCAAATCCGCCTCACCCGAAGCCAATACGGCTGAAGGTAAAGCCGTTTGAAGGGAAGGAAGGCGAGAACCTTCACTTCTGAGTCCGAGAAGTAGAGCTCGCGATGGACGCGGCTCTGATCTCGACCGAGCAACTGCGTGTTGCTTTTGCACTCTCCAACTTTAGCGGTCGTGCTAAGAGTTGGGTGTACACTCGGGAAGCAACATCCCTTGGATGTTTTACATCCTGGGCTCAGCTGTGCGAACAGATCCGAGCCGCGTTCCTCCCGGCGAACTACGAGTACCGCCAGCGCTCGCGCTTCCTCGCGTGTAAACAAGGAAGGCGCGAACTGCAAGAGTATGTGCTAGAGATACGGGAGCTCACGGCGTCCCTAGTGGGAAACCCACTCAATGAACACATCAAGATGACTGTGTTCATGGACGGCCTTCGAGTGGGCCCCGCACGCACTCAGCTGTTCCGGGTGCAGGCAAGCACCCTTGAAGAGGCGATTCAAGTGGCTCTTCAAGAAGAGTACAGCCATCGCCAGGCGCGTACGCCGGCCTCAGCGTGGCCTGGGAGCTCCTTGTCGGCTCCCGGTCGAACAAGCCCCAACGGACCAGTTCCCATGGAGCTCGGGTCCGCCGAACAGCGTGACATCCGCTGCTTCGGCTGTGGGAAGATGGGCCACTTCAAGCGCGACTGTCCCGCGGAAAGACTCCGCCGACGGTCCTTCTCCAAGCCCGTCCTCAAGGGTCGCTGGCAGAAGCCAGGATCCTGGGGACAGGGGAACGCAGGGAACCAGTAGGGGCGGGGCGCCCTACTGGGGAAGAGCTAAGTCTTCGTGATGGGTGCGCGGGTGGCGCGTACCACGGGGACTTAGCCCCTGAGAGTCTTCGCACTCTCGAATCGGCGAAGAGCAGCGGCGGG